TATAGAGAGCATTGTTACTTCAAATATAGTATTTTAAAACATGAACTACCTTCATAAATCTGGTCATATTTTTCCAACAATGCTTTCCTGTTACGCCATATTGGTGTGAAAAGCGCGAGAACGGTTCATTCATGTAACGTAGATAAAATGTGAATATTTCGCTTATTTTGCACCATGCTAATGAAATTTTAATGGAAGTTTATGATTTATTAAAATGTATGCTGCATATAAAATAAAATTCTTGTTTATTTTTTACTAAGAAATAATTGCTAGGCAATTTTTTTGTCATGGACTATAGATTCATATACAACTTCATTTTTAATCAGGTCTTTTAGACATTTTGTAACTTTTTCAATGTATTAGTATTGTATGATTATTATAAGGCTGTTTTATTTTACTTCAGGAGTTAGCTTTAGTAAATTGTATTATTGTTCTTTCATTAATTGTGTCACTTACGGCTTTGTGTAGTTTCTTTTTAAGGAATTAGATATTTACATTTCATAGTACTAATACATACTTTTCAATCTTAAACTGCGTTTTTAAATACAAGAAAACTGATAAAACTTCACTTGGATCAAACTATAATTAAAAGTTTTGTATTCAATAGGTTTATTTCTTTAGTCATCGCGATTTATGACGCGGTTTAATGGAGCGATTAGACCATAACTTAGTAAACCATGACAGCGAATTATAGCTGGCAAGTCTCACGCAGGGTTAAAAACTACTATTATGTAAGGAGCAGAAAATATAAAGAGTGATTTTATCAACGTTGAATGAAAATGCTGTACAAAAAGGTTTTACGACAAAACTCACGATATATACATATAATATTTATCATAATTATATATAATATATGAATGATAAAATTATATTCATATAAAGAAAATATGACTCGATTCAGATGATAGAAATATAAATTTTAAATCAATTAAATATATTTATTGAAATTGATTCTTTAAATAAACAACGTCGAAATTCTAATAAAGATATTTTGGTATCTTTCCTTTTATAACACCTAAATTTCGACAGTTAAATTCGGCCCCGGGAAAAGGCAGCATTCGCTTAAATAGAATACGATCGGAACCGCTTTACATTATTTACAAACTTCGGCTTGCGTTTTTAAATGGCTATATTTGGACATCATTTATCATTTCAATATAGCCGATTGGTAACATTTTCTGAGAAGCACTCGAATGTATACAATTTATTCTCGTCCGACTTTCTCAGCTGGAGTCCGGATACTATAAATTCTAAATATAAAGCTGTGTATAATAAAATAGGTATAAAGCTCAGATCTCTCGGGTTTAGTCGGAACACAGTTTTTTTTAGAGTATTTTGTACTAGTACTTAAAAAGTAAATATACTTGGCCAATGTCCAAGAGAACTTATCTGAGACTGTTATTTTCAGAAAGTTAAAACTTCATTGCCACTAATTTATTTTACCCCAAGACAAAAGACAATAACTAAGGGATCGGCCGCTAAGGACACTTAAATGAAGACATTGATTGAGAACCTTCTTTTCCTTTTCCACTGATGCCTTAAGGGCAATTAAAACAAAATTACTTATAATAAAAATGCCGTAAAAACCTTTTAAAACCGAACCCATTATATATATATATATGTCTACATATATTTATATAAAGAAAATTTATTATTTTTATAGTAATAAAAATATATATATTCTGAAATGAAGAAGTTCTAGTCCCTTATCAAAATAAACATCCGTTACTGATAGCACTCAAATGTTTCAAGTTATAACATATATAGGACCTCAAAGATCTTTTACTTCCTAACTACAGAGACGTTCATCGAAAATCGATGTTGAACGAGACCGTTCCCCGTACAATCAAAGTATTTGATGTCTGACATAATATGCCTGTGTTTATTGATACTTAAGGTATCACTATCTACCATGTTTATCATCTTTATGTACGAGTATGTGTTCTGTTTTACGTAAATTGTTGAAAGAAATCATTGAATAGTTACCTTCAAGATTTATTCAATTCTTACTAGTGGATACTTAAAAATATATATTCTAATTATTTTAATCAAATAACAATAGAAATAAAAGACATGATAAGCTAAGCTATATATTAGATCTTATACAAGATGCCAACATTGTATCGTTTCTAACTTCTGTCCTAAATTTCAAGCGAAGCGGTGGTCCTCCTTGTATCCTACTTCACTTCACTTCACTACATCCGAATCCAAAAGAGACCTTCCACCTCTGATTATTTAATCACGTGGAATCAATACGAACCGCTAAGCTGCCTCTACTAAAAATATGTAATTTTTTAAATAAAATCTTGTTGTTAAATTAATTGAATCTATTTTGAATAAAATAAAAATTATAATATTTTTATCAATTAATGTTTCTTACATATTTTTACGAGGTTCTCCTTCCCTTAATATTTAACCACTGGTTTTTACATAACATTGGATATGAATAAACCAGTGTTAGAGAATTCTTAATTCTTACTCCTTTTACGTTTACAGAAAAGTGATTTACTATATTTAATAATACAAAGTTTATTTTGATGCAAAAACATTGATTTAAATCCGTCAAGTATACAAAACGCGATAGTGTTTCTAGTTGAACAAAGTGAACTGTAATAGACAAAATGTGTTAAGACAAAAGTGATAAAATGATCGTAAAACGAACTCAGTGCAATACAGAACAGTTTTTGTGTAAAAATTGTTTTAAGTAAAACGATATGGGATGAGTCATTGTGAAAAATGTTATATCCAAACTATTATCCAGGCCAAAGATGATGCACGAAATTCAAGACAATGCCGGGTCAGGTACAAACGACGCGATGGAGGAAAACGAGGCCGGCGGGAGTGGGGGTGCCGAGGTCGATATGGACGACATCGGCTCTCTTACACTTCCTCCCGATCTACCTCCCTATTCAGGAGATTATATTATCAGTGATTACATGGAACGTCTTGGAACACGCCTTAATATCTTAGAAACCGAATTAAAGTACGCCTGGCGAGCTCTGGATCTATTAAGTCAAGAATACGTAAGAATGTGGGATAGATTGGAAAGATTAGAAACTCTGCTTGCAGATCAACAGGGTGTGATTACAACTCTACTCGATTTTTATGCGTGTCGTACGGTAACTTCGAGAGATCCTTTGTCAAGGTTAGAGGTAATCAGAGAAATATTGGGTAATGGCACGGTTGAAGATGGCATTGAGGAAGGCCTTGACGTAGGCCGAACCGCAGCTTTGTTAGATTCTCAAGATGAGGTAATGGAATCTAATGAGGCTTTTTATAGAAGTTTAAATCAGGCTTACAGAGATGATTTAGTGTGTGATGAAAATTCTAGACCACCATCTCAACTAGATATGATTTGGGAAGCACCAGAAGAAGCAGACATGGAGGTCATGCCAACAACATCTAGACAAATGTATAGTGGCAGTGATTATAAAAACTATTGCGGATTACAAGGAGACGGAGGCTTGAGTGAAAGAGATATGGTGCATATATCTACCTTAAGTACAATAGATCAAATTACCGTAGATAAGTTACATGAATTAGATAGGTTGACAACCCAATTACACAAGGATTCGAGAGAGTTAAAAGACTTGAAAACTAGACTTCTTAGTCCGGAAATTAAATTATCAGCAAAACGAGACAGAGAAATAGAAGCTAAAGCACTGGTAGAAGATGGCAATATAATAAATGAACAACTTAAGAACGTATATACCGGTGATGAAAATTGGGGTATTAATGATATGATGAAAAGTTTTGACGATTTTCTTTTAACAATGCCGAAAGAAAACATTAGAGACAAATCACCATCAAGATTATCGCTTTCAGACCAAATGGTGGGTGATAGAACGCTAGATTTCATTCCATCAGCCCTGTCTCCTCGAAGAAAATTTGTTCCAGAAAGGACAACAACTGAACCATACACAACAGTAACAGGGCGTTTAGCCTATAGTTCGGCTGTAGCTAATGCAGAAATTGCAGCAAAATCTTCAAAATCTCCTAGTGCATTATCAAGAGAAAGATTTGAATACAGTTCGACGTATCAAGTGGAAGAACCATCAAGACAGCATTATTATTCTACAAAAAACGTTTCTCAAGCTTTGAACGAATTATACAAATCTACCTCAGAACAACATTCCCCTTTGTCTGTTCATGAAATTTACGACGAACCTTCAAACGAAAGACTGGAAATTAATTACGAAGGTAAATTACGAAAATCTCCAAGTCCACCACCACCCGCTCCACCAAATGGAGCAGAATTATTTTCATCCATAGAAAATAATAGCGAGTTATTATCTTCTCATCAAGCCATGCTTTCAACAAGCATCGCAGTAGATGGCATGCGCTTAAGTCCTCGATCACCAAAATCACCTAAAACTTCTCCAAAACACTTAAAAAGAGATAGTGCTAATATTGTCACAGCGAAATCGGACTCTGGGCTCTCTTCCATGAGTGGTTGGTCGAGTTTAGAAAAAAGTCCTGGATCACCTAAAACAGGAAGAGTTGTTCATGTATCCCATGATAGTCATAAACTGAAAAACCAGTCACCTCAGTCTGTTCAAAGAATACCTTATGAAATCGATTCAAAACCGTACTTAGAGACTTTGGTTGACTCATACCAATTCGAAAATAAAACACATAAAAGGGATTATAACCAAGTTAGAAAAAGTGATGGTTCCAGAGATCCCTCCATGGATGTAAATAGAATTCCAGAAAAGGAGGATTCTATTTATTTAAAAAGTGATATACCGTATTCAATATTAAATCAAAACTCTTTAGGTAATATAGATTTTTATTATCAAAATGAAGCACCATCTATTTATTCTGTTGCTGGTAATAGACAAGCAATTTTTACAACTGTTTATAGTTCTCCCAGAGGAATACTTTCTGAAGAAAGAAATTTTTCCGAAGTATTAGATAGAAATGAAATTACGGAAACGGTTCCTAAACAAGCACTTGATTCGTATCCACCAGAACCCAGTTATCATGCTCAAACGGTGGTTATGTCGGCAGGTAATATAAATAAAAAAGTAATCACTAGAGCAAACACTATTGGAGCTAATGACGTTCAAATACATCAAAATGGGTATAAAGTAACAAATAATCGCTCAGGATATCCATCTGGAAATTTAACTGATGCACTTTCATATTATCCGACTTCTACTAGATATGATTCTCCTAAGCGAACTTCCTTAGAAGACAGAATTGCTTGGCAAAGTAGTAGATCACCGACTAGCTCAACAGAAACATCTAGTTTAAAATCGCAATCTCTTAATATTGCGGAGAGAAAACAATTTCAAAATCAATTACAACAAGAATACTTTAAGCAACAGCAGTATGACCAAAGAAATGGAAATATTATGAATGAAAGTAAAGGGTATGAAAAACAAACTGTAGAAAATAACATTAAGCGAAAAGAACAATTGGTTGAACCTTCAGGAATGTTGGTTTCCGAATCTGGGTATTTATCCATTTCTTGTAACCTAAAAGCCAAAGAAAAAGAAAAACAAGGAAAGAAACCTAAGCGGACATCTTCTCTGAAATCTGCTATGTCATCTATGAGTCATTGGCTCCCTGATTTGCATTTACAAAAAAAAAACACAGGTCTCATTCTTTACCATCTGGTGTAGATACAGTAGAGCAATCACAACAAGAAAAATCTCTAAAGGAAAGGTTATTATCAGCCCAAAGACGAAAAAAGAAGTACCACTTAGTGGCATCAATGTCAGGATTATTACAAAAAGCTCGTCGGAAGCAACAAGCCAGCCATCAGTCATTATCAGATCCTGAAACATCTGAAACTGAATGGTCAGGTGGACGATCGAGTGCCCAATCGGAAGATAGTGACAGTGTTTTTTCTGACTCGACACATGAAGGAAGTATGTTTCCAAAAGTGGCACCGAAGATAAAGCAACGAAAAATAAACAATCAAGAAATTGTGGAACAACAGCAAATGCTTCAAGAACTGCAACAACAAGGAATGGAATTTCAACAGGACGATAGCGAGAATCTTATGGAAGAAAAAGAAAAATTTGCAAATAATGTTATGCCGAGAGATAAGAGTGATGACATAGAGTTTCATTTTGCTCGTGTAAGTCAATTGCAAAAAGAACACATAACTGAATTGGAAAAGTTAGATATTGATACTGATATTTCAAATATAGATCCATTTGAAGAAGATTCAAAAGAAGGTAATCGTTCACCCTCATCACTATTCGCAACGGTCGGAGATGTTAAAAAAGCAGCTAGTATATCAGAAGATGGGTCAAATGAAAACAATTCATCCTACAATGGAAGTTCACAAGAATTCGCTGTTTCTAGGGCTTTAGGCAAATATCGGCTGCGTAAATCTTCATCTGTATCTGATGACCAAATGTCTGACACATCACCGCCAAAACTGGAAAGTAATATAACTGAAGAAACCACAACTGAAATTACGAATGTTAAAAGTAGAAGACCGTCAAAAACAAGTCCACCGGAAATTATAAGCAGTTCAGTACCAGAGGACACTGCAACAATTTCGGAGCGGAGTCCTTCTATTCAGAGCGTACGAGGTTTACCTATGAAATTCCAGCCAAGACATCAACAAAGTTTAGAGATACCCAACAAACATGATGATGATGATAGCAAAAGTACACACTCATGGAGAAGTGGATCAAGGGTTTCATCCAGGCGCCAAAGTACCGAAGATAGTATTGATTCAGAGGACGAATGGTATTGTTATGAATTAAGAAAACTGGAAGAAATGGAACAACAGTCTCAAATTGAACAAGAAAGAGAGAAAACACTCGCAGAAGAGCCTGAATTTGAGGACGAAATAGCTACCGAGCCAAATGAATTTTTGAAGGAGAAAATGTCATATGTTTTAAGAGAATTAAAACTTAAAACTGCTTCAATCAAAGTGAAATGTGATGAGGCTCCAACTCAGGAGGTTTGGAAAGATGTTACTACATTTCCTGTTATTGATGAAAATGCCCATGAAAGTGCTGCAGAGGTCGAAAGTGATGAAGATAAATCTTACGCTGACTCTGGTTCGGGAGAAACTTCTGGACCTGATAGTCCAGTTCAAAGTGGAGATGAATATGAAGAAGATTATGACATGCCAGAAATAAGCAAGGAACCCACTCCAACAAATAAGCACGCTCCAACGCAACAGGACGCTCCGGTTGGCAGCAAGTGGAAATTATTAAAAGCATTAAAAGATCGAAAGGCTGAAGAAAAAACAACCGAAACGCCAGCTGCAACAACTCCATCTACTGAAAAGGATAAAGTCAGTGCTGGTGTAAGTTACCTTATGCAAAAATTTCATGAAATTAGAGTTAAAAGTTAAAATGTAGAATCTAGGTTATACATACATACTCCTTATAGATTAATGCTATTTTAAATGTTAGCGAATTAACCTGGACCGCTTTGTCAAAGAGCATATACGATCACTTGTAATGTTTCTGCTACGTTGTAATCGTCTTAGCACAGGTTTATGCATTTGTAACCATAGGTACTTAAAAAAATATTATACTTTATATACTATAAATTGAGACCATGAAAAGCAAAGGTTGTGTATTTGTAATTTTTCCAACGAAAAATTTTAGAGACCCAAAATTAATATTCAATGATTAAAAATTGTTCCTGTGAAAATCTTTTATCTGCCGAAATTCGGTTCAAAACCGGAATGATTTTATAAACATTTTTTACTGAAGCATAACCGTTGAATATAATTGAATTATTAATTACTGTAAATTAAAAAGTATACTTAAGCTATTAACGCTGGACATGTTTAAGGCAATAACAAGGTTCTACCAAAACTAATGTACTAAAGACTACTATAATAAAATAATATACATTGGGATTTTACTTAAAGCTTTAGAATATAAAGTTCGATGGTGTTTTTACAATTATTCAGGACTATAGCTTATTAATATAAAAATATAACAGTTAGACTAGTAGGTCATTTAATGTGATAAGTAAATTGCTTTAGTATTCACATGGGGTTAGTGCCAAGCGCTAATTCTATTAATATTAAAACGTAGTGACTTCATTCATACAATTAATAATTATTAATATACCTGATAAATTTGAAGGTACAAATTCATTCGCCGTCATATCACGTCATATCAAAAGAAAAATATTATTTCTATTCATGGCTGTCACCATTCAGTCAAAATCATATTTACTCATTAATTTAATGAATTATTTATATTCGTAAGTAAAATTATTTACTTATTATAATGCTTTAAATGTCTATATTTAATAAAAAAAAGTCGGTGTCTTGAACATTATTATTTTAGATTAAATTTATTGAAATAAAAAATCGTAGCATCGTTATGTTTCGTGTCGTTAACGAAAACGTTAAATGATATGTCGTAGACGTATTTTATAGGCGGTTTAATCGTTTAGTGAAGTCACTGAAAAACTTTAGAATGCACTTAATGTATTATCATATACTTAGACGAAGTAGACGTTGTATTTAATGGACTTGATATGTGAAACTAAAAATCTCGCAAGCGACTCTGTCATAGCATTTAAATTGCCTTGGGGATAATGTAAAAAATCCCGCTTCAACTATAATCGAAATATTACCATGTATGCTTTACAATAATATCAGGCGCTAATTATAATGAGTATATCATTGACATCTTTCACAGAACCTATTATAATAATATGTTTGTATGTTAAATTGAATGCTATTAATAATATGATACGTGTTAATTCTCTGTTTGCGGTATTTGCTGATTGATTGTATAATTAATATTGTGCGATTAGATTTTATATAATTTCGATTCAAATTAACATGAGGACAGATTTGTGTATCATTCCAATTAGAGGTTACATCGAAATTGTATAAATTATCATTTATATACGATTGTTATTGATATATTTTTTTTTGTTACAATAAAATATTCTTTTTATTTTATTTATTTTTTCTTTTATAATTGTTATTTTTTTATTTATTTTTAGAATGGCACTGGAGGTTTCAACGAGCAAGGTGGTCGCGGCAATGGGTATGAAAAATTTCGTTTCTGTTTTAATTGTAAAACTATATGACAGAAGTGGTGCAATTTTAAAATGATTTTCGTCAATTTATAGGCATCCCGGAGATAATCCCTTTTATAGTAACATCGACAGTATGCCCGATATACGACCGAGAAGAAAATCAATACCTCTTGTCTCTGAACTTGTAAGTATACAGATATAGACTAACGCGTCAATTTCTATTTGAAATAAAATGGAGCTATCTTTTTTTCTTGGCCGGTTTCAATAGACTATCTTAAATTTTATAATATAGGGTGTTCTGAAGGTAGTATTGGAACTGGTCGTCGATGTTCACGGCTCGCCTCGACGTACGCTTAGTAACGTAGGCGCGTAATAAATGTTTTCTTCTAACCGGGAAGTTTTTTTACAAACAATGCACGAGGAGAAAATCAAAAGATAAACAATTAGATCCACGCCAAGTCTCCCCGTGTGTTGTTCAGAATTGTGATTATTTTTATTTAAAGACTTTCGAGCAGTCTGTACCTTTCTTCTTCTTGATGTATTTATGTTTTATGTGATTCTTGTATCTTCCTTCTGATATCTATATGTGTAGGTCTCTTATCCTTTTATAGAAGGCCTATACACCAATTACCTGCAAGATATTATGAGAATAGGGGTCACCTAATTAAATTATACTGTAGCTAATCCAAACTATTATAACTGATATTTCCTGATATAAATTAATGATCTCATTGCATTTTACCCTTAACCATGGACCCGCAGGTTCTCAAGGTATAACTCTCCCATAACACTTCTTTCTATGCATGTTTCTATAAAGGTTTTACTGCTTTAAATATGCAACCGCTTTATATATATAAAATATTACTGTCGTTACCGCCTAACGCAACCGCATGTACTGCTTACTTTGCTGCCCCGATATACTTAAATATATTCTTAATTGCATAGGAAATAACTACGTAAGCTGTGCACGAGCATATATACATATACATATATTTATTTTTTCAATATTCTTGTCACTGCACAAGCATCTACAAAGTCGCTTTATTAAAACAAAATTGAAGCATTCTGTACTGTTACTATTTTTGATGAAATATTTTACCTAGACACAATATGTTTGAAGTTTTTATAATAAATACAATAAAATGCAATTGTTTGTTCTGATAGTATTAATTTTTAAAACGACAGGCTTAAAATACAGCTTATATGAATTGCATGTGTAGCATATTTTAAAATCACTAGCAGACTCTTAAACTGAAGAGAGCAGTTAGAGCATAGTATTTTCTGATAGAAGAGATAGAACCTATAATCTTTTTTGGTCGAATTAATATTTAGAACTTTCGCGATCATTTCGAAATAGATACTAAAATTCTTAAATCACCTCTAGACTATGGCAGCTACGAAACGGAATGCTGGATTGACATCTGCTGTACATCGCGCTACGTTGAATGATGAGGAATTGGTGAGATATTTTAATTATGAATATCAATTTATTTAACAATAAGAAAAGTAATTTAAAATTGTTTGTTTAGGATAACTATTGTGACTTTAAAAATAACGTTAGTAATAATATTTTCTAAGTATATTTTATTTATTTTTATTGTTCTTGAAATCAAGTAAAAAGTGTTTTACAGAAAATGCACGTTTACAAGAAAACTTTACAAGCACTTATCTATCCTATATCGTCGACAACTCCTCACAACTTTGTCCTATGGACCGCCACCTCGCCCACTTACTGTTATGAATGCGAAGGATTACTCTGGGGTATAGCCAGGCAAGGAGTTAGGTGCACAGAATGTGGAGTGAAGTGCCACGAAAAATGCAAAGATTTGCTTAATGCCGACTGTCTACAGAGTAAGTAGTCTTAAATTTTTGTCGACGAAGAGTGACAATAATCGGTTTTATAATAGCTTTGGATTTCATTTCTTTTATTTTATTAATGTAAATATTCTGACTATTTAAATTATGTCCAAAAGTACCAAAGCTTATAACAGAAAAAAATATTTTAAACTAATAAGCTCTCATAAAACCGATTGTTATAAAACCATGATCATAATGTATTATTCTGAATTATTAGTAAAAAAACTTTGAATAAAATAATTTAGACAATACAAATCTATTATCATGGTTTTTAAGGAGAATGTTGACGTACGTTGATATTATAATTTAGGTTGTTACGATGTGTAATCAACTGTCACGTTGAGAAAAGATCGTTACATCATAAAGACATTGAAACTTACTACATCGATGTTTTCTACTTTTCTGGCAGTGGCGAAGCGCCGTTCACCTTATTACGATGAAGTAGTGTCAAGATGCACTCATAGTGGCTCACACAGTAGACAAGATCTTTGTTGCACAACGATGCCGAAGCAAATTACATTTGATTAAAGATCGTAAAAAACTTTAACAGTCACTAGTGGTTTTTTTTCACGTTTTAGTCTAAAGTTTAGCTGGAATTAAAGTTATAATGTTCTATAGATTCTGTGTTTCGTCTCTGCCGCTATAAAAGATATTAAATTCTGACATTAAAATAACATTTGTACATTCAAACAAATTGTTAAACATCTTAAAATGAGGGAAGTCTTAAAAAGGGTTCAACTTTTTATTTTAATGACAATTCTGACTTGTAGAAAATACATCTCATTTTTAAGTAAATTCGTGAACATCATTTGTTGTATTATGGTATATAATATTTGATATGATACGGTAACGATCTTTTCAACGGAACATTTTATCCCCTTTACATTGTAAGTAGCAAACTAGATGACATCTTTATATAAGGTAATCCATCTGTTGTCTGTGGTATATTTTAATATCAAAAACTCGTCGCTGTAGAGTTAAAAAAAATTAGAAAGACATATGCATGAAAACATCACGCATGGTCGTCAGTCGCTACATTTACATCAGCGATTATTCAATCGATAGGGTCTATCAGATTAAAAACACTATAAAACAAGAGTAAGTAAACAAATCGGTAATATATGGTTGGATGTAACTATCCAAATGAAAACATGTTTTTTCTATTGACGTTGTATTTTGATTTTTGATCTTCTTTTTGTGTGACCTCATATAATAAGGCATGATCCTACCCGCGTGAAATTCCCCTGTTTGCTTGATCGGTGTGCATGGCTATCGGTTTATAAATATTATTCAAAATTAATATAAATACATAATCGGCCAACATCACAATGTCACTATCATAAAGGCGGGCAGTCGTTTGTATAAAAAGAAACAGATAAAATAATTACTTGTCTATTATACGACTGCACGTCAATGTCATTTACATAGTCTACATCTTAGAAGCATTGACATATTCTTAGTATTTTATTTATTTATATTTCTTTATGTATATGTAAATTAAAATTTTGTTTTATTTTCAATACTTCAATTATGTTAAGGTCAAATAAATTAATATTAATATTAATGTATCCATTTTATTTTAGGTGTTTTATTATATGTATAACATTTTTTTTATTTTATAATATCTGTGGTACATATATGTAGTTTGTTTTTATTAAATTCTGAAGTATGAATATTAGATATATTAATGTTTTTGACATGTAGACTGTATATCACCTAGCTAGGGTATTTGGTCCCCAGTTCCTCACGGGTTACCCCGCCCAGCGCCGAAATATTTTCAAGTGCCCTGAAACCTAAAAATAATTATTATATATATATTATACTTAATGTTTCACACTTCTTTCACAATTCTATGAAATATATCTTAAAGCCTCCAGACACGAGCCCCCCAAAGTTAAAACTAAAATGTGCCTGTTAGCGATGTGTGCACGCAAATCCAGTATATTTCCAAAACAATATTATATGTGGTCTTAGTTTACTTTTTTTCGTCTTTTAATTTATGGCCTTCAATTTTTCTGTATTCATTTTAATTCTTATCTTTTCTTTTAAACTCTATTAAAATCTGATCTAAACAACTCACTAAATAATATCCAAGTTAAACTTTTTATTTAAATAAAATCTAGGTCAACGCAAACTATGCGTACTACCAATTAATTCTACTGTCCAATAACATATATATTATAATTAAATAAAATGTCAGGAACTACTTTTTATTATCTAAATGATATTTATTTTTAACAGGTTATGTGAATTATTAATGTATTTATTGATAAAACGCAGTTTAAATTATTGAAAATTAAAATGACCATAGCTTTGAGATACTTTTATATTAAAGGCGCCGTACTCAGGTTTGCACCGGCTGGCGCCGCTCAAGGTCGTTGACCTAATCAGATGCAACATGACATGATTTCGTATGATTTACGATTCTGAGTTGATATCTGGTTGGGTTGAGGCCTCTGAGTTGTCGTGGCAGGCCTGACTGCAGGGCGGGGGGCCTTCCCGGCGCAACCCGCAGTAATTAAGAACAGTATTGGCACCGCCTGAGCAGTGTGTTTCGCAGGGGCTGCTGAGAAGTCTTCAAAACATGGTGCTGAAGATAAGGCAAACTCAATTATAACAGCAATGAAGGAAAGAATGAAGCAGCGCGAACGTGACAAACCAGAAATATTCGAGCTAATCAGGTTAGTGCTTTGTATGATATAATTTATAGTTATCATTTTATATGTACTAGTGAAATATTCTTTCATTATATTACACTTCTTAACTGTCCATATTTTACATTTTATTTTACAGAAATGGTATGGTATTGTTTTGTTTATTTTCAGTGCTGATTTATACACAAGCGAACCATTGACAAAATGTTATTAATGGAGATTCAACTCATTTCACTGTGTAAATTTATCGTGCTATAATTTTTATAAAAACATGTATATGTAACAGACGCGTGTTCAGCATTGAAACCGAGGGACATTCCGCACATATGAGCACCGTGAAGCAGTCCGTCCTCGATGGAACTTCGAAATGGAGTGCGAAGATCGCCATCACAGGTTGGAAGATGTGTCGTGGTTAACCAATATTTTTTGCAGATTATCGTGATCCTGACGAGGAGGAACTGTGTAGGAGTGACAGCAGTCCAACATAAACGGTTCATACAAGACACTATAAATTGATTCGTGTCTTTCGTTTCATGTGGCGGCCAGGCGGACTTTTAACGTCGACCCCGACACTCACATAGACAGCCTCGAACAGGCCGAGCAAATCACTATTGAAGGGACTTCGAAATGGTCCTGCAAAATCGCCATTACAGGTTTGCAGTGGTCTTTTGCGGCTAAGACCGCACGCTCGCAAAATTTGATTCTATTAGAAGACTTCGCCTACTTTCTCTATACCACTTTTTTGGTGTCTGCTAAAATAATGTTTTAGTATTACAATACAATTGTAATAAGTCGGAGACATATGAAAATTTTAACACACACCAAAACTCTATATGCAATCTTACTTTAATTACTATCCCAGTCCATTCACGGTCGTTAGTGCACTGCCTCAACTCACTTTTTTGACAAAACGTAGCTTATAAACCATCAACACATGGAAATTCCACGAATCTAACACAAACAAAAACTAATTTACAAAATATAACTAATGATAAATTACAATATGTGCACACACAACTGTTATAATATTTGATACAATCCGATACTTCACATTGAATTTAACAATAGCAATTTATAATCGGCAGCACGTCTGCTAAATTGACACGATTGCATGACCTCACCTTTAATGTTAATTTATAACTGTCACAACCCCAAATCCAGGTGATGAAATGCTGTTATTAAATAATAAATTTACACGTTTATCGTTTACAGATATATATATAATTTAATTCTTTGAGTAGTCTTTCCCACATTAGGTGAATGCATTGATCTAGCGAAGTTGAAGCATGCAGGACCTGAGACCCAGAGACTGTAACAATATAAAATTTCTATTTTCCTCCTTCTTTCTGCTCTTCCTTCCAAAATACTTCGATTCGTGAAAATTCCGCAAAATTTAGAAACCATCCCCGTGCATATAATTTTTAATCATATTTAACTATCTTGACCAATATTGCATTAGAAGTTGCGAATGTAGTCGCTATGTTCAAGTTGTTATAGACTCGAGTTTGGGCATTCATAGATAATTTTGGTAGATTTGAAGCTAGTGTCTTCTTTAACTGAATCAGACCCCGCGACGGGAAATCAACAAATTGTCAACTGTTCACTGAAGGTACTTTGGCTTTTCAGCGGTAAGTAGAAATTGTAGGAGCGTTAAATTATGGCCTATTGTAAAGTTCATCTCATATCAGGTAAAAATAAACTATTTGTTTTGCAAATACATCTGTTATTTTATGTAAATGCCTTTAAAGCATTTGTTGCTTTCCAATATGAGAGCTTTATATAAATATATAAAATTGTATAAATTTAATTACATAATATAAACTATAAGCAGTACGTTAAGAGAAAACTATTTTATATTAAAAAAAATATCACCTTATTAAGTCTGGAACTAAGATTTAATTATTTAAAACAGTTATCTGCGCACAAGGCTTGATAGCCAAGGATAAAAGTGGCACCTCTGACCCGTACGTAACCGTCCAAGTAAGCAAAGTCAAGAAAAGAACTAGAACCATGCCTCAAGAGCTTAACCCTGTGTGGAATGAAAAGTTCTACTTGTAAGTTAATTTGTACTAGTAATAAAGAACATTCTTATAATTCTTACTTTATAAAATATGCTTTATAAAATCTTTGAGTTGTTATACAAGAGTCATAAAAAGAGCAATTTTATTTCGACCATAATAATTTCAACCCCAATACTCTAAAAATAAGTCTTATATTGCAGCGAATGTCACAATTCCTCCGATCGGATAAAAGTCCGAGTTTGGGATGAGGACAATGACCTAAAGTCTAAACTACGCCAGAAGTTGACGAGAGAGTCCGACGACTTTTTGGGGCAAACTATAATTGAGGTAAATAACGAAAAATCCGGTTGCCCTAGATAAATACGATTTAAACTTATTTTAAATGACCTTTTTCTAGTTGTTTTGCATTTAATATTAACTGTGGCACGTCATTCACGAATCTATCGATTTTATAATTACAGTTGTTTTATGCTTGAATTTCAGTGCACTGTACGTTGGTTTAAACGTTAATAAATAATTTTAATTCCGTGCCAGGTTCGAACATTGTCAGGTGAAATGGATGTCTGGTACAATCTGGAAAAGAGAACTGATAAGTCTGCTGTGTCAGGAGCCATTAGACTGCATATCAATGTAGAAATAAAAGGAGAGGAGAAGGTGGCACCCTATCATGTGCAGGTTAGTGACCTTTTAATTTAATTTAATTTTCTTTTAAATGTACGAGTTTAATAGTATAATAAGAAAGTTTCGATATTTCAAGGAGATTAAAAATATGTATACGACTAATTAGGAATACTGTATTGAGCCATAATACATAGCTTATACCTTTTTTGTGGTAGAGTGATTATTATAGGCAAACGATATCGATTGTCTCGTACATAGCTGAAATTTAGATTCTGTAAATTCAAATCACCTGCTTTAAAAAGAAAGCTGTAGCTATCTTAGAGCAACAATATAGTTTCAAATTCCATGTGAGAACTCAACAGGTCTGAAAGTATTGGCACCATGCCCTTTGGCCGCGTTCCAGCCCAATAATCACTGCGCAGTTCCGTACAATCGCCAACTTAGCGAAATGTAGCTTAAAATAATTTTAACAATGCCACTTTAATTAATTTATGGCTTACCGAAACTATTATGTCAACTTATGGTAGGGATGGTATTAAGTCCGCTATTTAGTATAATCCAATTTAGATCAAATGAATTTATTTTATATAAGTTTACGAAAGCATCATTGATTTTTCTGAACAGGATGACTTAACTAAAACTTTTACGTATAAATGCAGACATTTTAAATAGTACGAGATTCGTAGTGATCATTACTATTCCAAAAGCGGATTTTGTTTTGAAGAGACTTACAAAGTTCGAACTTCTGGCTAATGTAAAAGTTTGTACTTCACTTTTGATAATCATTTATGTTGCTTTTAAGGAAAAACTTGCTTGAAAGCTATGAAATAGTTATAAATTATTTATGTATAACTATTACTTTTACTATATAAAATTGCTGCAAGTGACTTGTGTTAAATATTAAGGGTACGTAAGTAAAATAGTTGTTTGAGTAACAGCAACAGTCATGCAACAATTAAAATTATTTTCACGTTTTTCTATTAAATTTGGTTAATTTCTTTTGGACAATTGTAAATTAAAGGAAAACACGTCCATTAAATTAGGTAAACATGTAAAAATTTTACTCGTGTTTTATATTTTGGACTGTAATATAAAGTAAGTAACAATAATCCATGGTTTGAGAAATAAGCGTGGGCGGTATTTTCATAATTTATTATGATCACTTGAATTATAAACAAAAAAATTGTCCATAAAGATTATCCGTTATAAAATCATGGTTTTCAGAACTATGTATTATTATACAAAGTAGATATAATAAGTACGGTTTGGGTTACTGAAAGGCTATTAAAATTAGTAAACTGTGAGTTTTGTCAATACTTAAAAAAGCAGTCGTTTCTTTTTATTTTATATAAACTAGTTGTTTCTTTCTTAGTACTGATTTTACTTCTTTCCATTTGAATTGAAGTAGGGCTTTTATTTTTTTGTTTACTAACCTTAAACTTTTCATCCTTTAAAGTCATTTAACTGATTATTTAAATTAGCTTAAGAAACGTTTTTACGTAATCGCATATTTTGAACTAGACTAGACTAGACTAGACTGTGGTACTAGTAACCATAATTATCAACGACGTAGATTAGTAAACTAATATATCTATAAGCAATAAGTAAACAATTAACTAGTAGCAGAAATTAACAGTAGATTAATACATGATCTCAAATACCAAATTATATATCTGAGGTTACAGTGGCAATTTTTCTATTTGTTCAAATATAAAACACACAATTTCAAATAAATATACAGTTATTCAATAAAACTGTGACATACGCGACTTATATATTCGAATTCTCTGTACTATCTCCTTCGCCTGCTATGTTCACGTTCTAAGATAAAATTCAATATTGTAACTTACGTTCGAGTCGCGCCTTCACGAAGTTTCTGTTCGTGTTTTACGGAATGTTGCCCATATAACGTGGAACTGAGAAAATCAAATGACTCTCATTATAAAAATACAAACATTTCTCGCGTTCAAATCATCGAAAGCTAAGAATTGGTATTTTATTACTTTCTGATTGACTCTACTAGCTTCGAATTTATGAAGGACAAAATTTATCTTAATAATATTCGGGATTCCTTTTATTTAAAACACATTGAGGTTTCTTTTGAAAGTACATACTAATCTTATTACATATAATATTCCTGTTATAAGTATATATTTTTTGATCTACCAACAGTTCTTCTTGCCCCAACATACGTAATTAGTCATTGTTTAATAAAAACCAATTCTCAAGGGTTATGTAATGTCAGTGAAATTTTCAACTCAAAGAAAATGCCTAGCGATCTTGAGGTGGGTTTTTTAATTAAATTCTTATAGTATATCTACATCTTGGAAATGTGAAACAATATAAATATTTGGTTCTATTTAAAATTCAAGAACTAAAGAGTACGGTTTTAGTGAAATGAGTTTTGTCTCCTTAACGTTGGATTAATATACAAGACTTAAGTTTGTGATATTAGTTAAAGGTTGGCTGACTTTCGCTGCTGTAGTCTTTGACTGAAATAAAAATAATATTTTAAAGAGCTTAATCCATATGTTATTCTGACAAATGAGTTGCATTATTTTAAAGTTTCAAAATAATTATTCAGTAATATTTCTGTGAAAAGATTACTAAAATCTATACTTTTATATAAAGATTAGGATTAATATTTATAAATATTTTTATAGATTTATGATTAATATAACACTAAAGACAGCTTACTCGTTATTCGCAATATCCTAAAATTTGATTTTAATATACAATTTCTGTATGGGATGACAACTTTTATTTATTTTCAATAAGTGATATAATTTGATAGTGACTGAGTTTTACTTTTAAATTGAATAAGTTAAATTATATTCACAATACATTACACATATTGTAATATTTTCAATTTGATGAGATCAAATTGGAATATGAAAGTAAATGTTCTGGAAAAGTACATTTTCACATATACTGATATAAGACTTTCCTTATTATTCATTTAAATAAAACTATTATTTTCGGATTCACTACGCCTTTATATTATTTTAAACGATACACTCCCGACGTTTCGGTTACTTTGCAGCACTATTACTGCAAATTACCATTTCTGCAAAGTAATGGAAACGCCGGGAGTATGTAGTTTAAAATAATTAAAAAACGAGTACATAATAATAAATTGAAAAACATTACTTTTATTTTGTGATATATTCTTCAGTTTCCTCTAGATTATTTTCATTAACATTAAATATGATAAGGTGCACTTTTCTTACAACGTCTTTTTCCTTAGTCGAATAGAAAATACAATTATTTTTTTATTTGATAATAGAAAAGAGTGGAACAGAGCAACCTTATATAAATTTCCATCAACTAAGCTATTTGTAAGTTATTAATGTAATATGTTACCCTGGTTTCAAAATATACCATCACATATGTTTTACTGTTTACAATACATGGCATAATAAATTCTACGAAAGGCTTAAAGATGCATCCAAGCAAACATAATAAAAGCTGTAACTCTTCCAAAATTACCTTCCACAGTCAAAGTAATGCATATAACATTGAACTGGGACTATTAAATAAATCCTGTATAAAAATGTGTCCATAAAAATGCATTTACGCGACCATCGGTCCCGTAAACGTATAAATCCGACTACAATATATACAATGGATTACACACGTCCGCCTCGGCTAATGTTTGACCCCGAATTCCTGTTTGAGTAAAACATTAAGCTTGCTAAATATAGTACCTATTATACAAATGCCTGTCGGTAAATAATAGCGATTTATTGGTAACCTCAATCCGATCGACCTTGATGGCATTCAACGATGTTAAAATATTACAATGATTCTGCATAATGGAAAATTTATTTGAAATGATCTATTGAAAAAAATGTTTTGAATAATTTATTAATGGCTAGCAGTCCCCGGATTTGTTCGGGTAGAATTTTTCCCTTGGGTAATGTAGTTCTTTCAGAACATAGAATTCTAGATTAGCTTCTATATCATATGTGCCAGGGTTAATCTAGAACTATTGCAATATATTACAACATCGAAATGACATTAATAAATCGATCGATATTAATAAATAAAAAACACTAATTATAACATATTATAAAATCATATAAAATATAAAATTAAATATACGTTTGGTATTCAATGTAACATTTTACGTCCATAATGTTTTCTATGTAATAAAAGCTTGATAAAAAAAACATAATCTCTGAAACACGACAGTTTTTTGTGGTTTAGACGTGGCTTATTTTATATTTATCAGTCGAGAGATTTGCATGACTAAATTCACAAAACTTTTCATTTTATTCGCTTCGCGTTCTGGTATTCAGAATAAAGGATTACTTTTTGAAATAATCTGAGCGGAATATTTGGTTTCACGGAATTATTTTAATGCAACAACTGATATTGTATTAAAATCAATTAATGAAATAATGAAAATAATTATATCTCTCAGCTAGTTTTTAGTCTATTACGCCTTATACCAGATAGTTTAATAGTAAAATAAATATGTATATATGCTTCTTAGCCTTCAACTACATATGATAAGGGTTATACATATCCGTTAAATAATTAACAGGGCTATACATTTCCTTTAAATAACGTCAAATACAAATTTACACAGATATCCGTAGAGTACAAAGTTATAATGAACGTTACCATACATTAAAATTTACTCATCCCTACTAATATTATAAATGCGAAAGTAACTCTGTCTGTCTGTCTGTCTGTCTGTCTGTCTGTCTGTCTGCTACGCTTTCACGCCTAAACCACTGAACTGATTTTAATGAAATTCGGTACAGAGATAGAGTTGACCTTGAGAAAGAACATAGGATAGTTTTTATCCCAGACTTTTGAAAGGTTCTCTTGGAAACGCGATACAACCGAACTCCACGCGGCGAAGCTGCGGGCGGAAAGCTAGTCTATAATATAATAATACCTACTATATTTTTGAATTATTTTATAAAAATACTTCCATAGCTTTGAAGATTACATTTGATTACAGTTATAAAACTCTTAATAACACCTCTCTAAAATGTTGGAATCTACATTGAAGATAAATGAAAATGTTTCTCGATTTTAAT